CTTGTTTCTTCGCTGCGCTTGTGCTCTCAACGTCACACCAACCCACCTTGAACCCAACACCCTACACACTTTCACTTGCACATCTTCCAATCCATGCTGGTGAGAAGGCCAACATTTCAGCCTAGTAGTCCCGTTCGTCGGGTCAGGCTCATGCAGTGCCTAGTAGTCCCGCTCGTCGGGTAAGGCAGCAAGATGTAACTTTCATTTCTTTGCTTGGTCAAGACAGCCTAGTAGTCCCGTCCGTCGGGTGAGGCAGTGCTGTGGCCTAGTAGTCCCGTTCGTCGGGTAAGGCACTGAAGAATGATGCTAGCTGGTTGCCAGTTGTTATTTCAGTTTCTTTTAGCTCACACTGCAGTGGCAGCGGCCTGAGCGAGAATATCTCTGAAAAAGGCGTTCTCCACGAGAAGCCTAAGTTTCCAGCTCAGTGCTTTCACGCCACCCTTCGCTAGCAGAAGCGGCCTGAGCCATAATTTTCCTCTAGTGAGGTCGCCTCCTGGCAAGCAATCCACCCTAGTGAGTTCTCTCCTGAAGGATTGCAATGTCCCTGTGCGAACTTTAGCCTATGCAACTACTTAGCAGGGTTTCACAGCTCAGACTTTTCCGCTTCATTTCGCCCGTTGTAGGCTGTGGTTGAGTAGCTGCCTTGTAGCCTTGTTTGTTAGGCCTTGAGTCTGGATGGCTCAGCTGAACCAGTAGTAATCCCCAAATGGGGCGGAACCTGGCAGCTTTGGACTGATGGCCAAACACTTAGTTGTCAGTAGTTTCTTGAAGCAGCCGCTTCAGCCATAAGCACCACTCTGGAGCTACTGCTTTTCCTTACATGCACGCTTCGTCGCTCATATCTGCTGCGTCAGCAGAGCCTGAGCGCGGGAGAATTTTGTCTAGTAGCAGCAGCCCATAGTCTTAAGCGCTAGCTCTTCTTCTCAACTGACCGAGCTTTTTAGTCGGGGATAACCCCTCCGGAACTGTGAATAATACTTTGATTGATTGCTCTGCTTTTTGAACAACTGCACTGCTCTACTCATGGGTTTTGGGTTTCAGGTCGTGTTTCCTTGTCGGTTCGTAAAGTGCAAGGTGCAGTTTCTGCCTGCTGTACACGGACTTGGTCGAAAAATCGTGTGAGGTCCCCTCCTGGTTAAAGTCCACCGTGTTGCAGCTAGTTTGTGCAGAGTGCAGTTTTGCCTGCTGTGCACGGGCCGGGTCACCATTGTACAGTTGATGAAAATTGACATCGTGCTTGTGAAACCGCGTGAGGTCTCCTCCTAGTCCACTGACCTCCGTGTTGCAGCTAGTCTAGCCCAGCTTTTGGCGACAGCTGCCGGGCAAGACAGTCAACAAAAGCGCTTTTCTTGTCCTGCTATTTGCATTCGTTTGCTAGAGGCTTTACCCTACACACAGCGCTCAAGTTGACTTAGAATTAGCCGTCATTTCAAGTCATTCTACCCCTCGATGCCCGCCAAGGTGTGGGACATGACCCGCACATGCGTCCGAAATGAAAATGAAATGAAATGTTGTTGTCTTGCATTTCGTCCTTTAACAACATGGTCTTCTTGCCGTGTTTTGGAACGTGGAACATTCCGTCTCAACACTGGTTTGGGTCTCGTTTTCACCTCCTGTGTTGGCCTTCAGTTGGATCCACATTCTCGGGTGACTGTTTCATCTCGCTTGCAGCTGTTCCTTCTCACGTTTAGATGGCGTTCTCGGCATGTCTCCGCTGGTGCCGTTTTTGTTTTCCATGAGGAAGACTTGAGTTCTAAGCATAAACCCTAAACCCCAAAGCCCTACACCCGGCCCTAGGCCCTAAACCCTGAGGCCCCAACCACCTGTTTAGTCCAAAGACCTAAGCCCCAACCCCTAGAGCCCTGAGCATTAAACCCAAAAAGAGAGTTTGGTTGTTTAGCCACTCCTTATTGAGCAAGGCCGCGCGTCAGGGCCAATATAATCGCAAGTGAGAGCACTTCCGAGTCGCAGGTGAGCCAAAAGCAGTGAGCCAAGATAGTCACAAACGAGCTAAAACGACACAGGCAAGTGATCGGAAGAACGATGAGAGCTTCGAGTGTGAGGATGGGAACGACGACACGCTGCAAACACGTGATTGTGTTGTATGTTGAATCGAAGCGAATGTATGCGAAGGTAGCATGTCGCTGATATGTGCCGCGATTTCCTGATGGCCTCGCCTCATGCTTGAAAACCAAGTTTCTACATCTTCGCAACGCTTTCGTCGAAAGAACGGCGAAGCACGCGCAGAATCACGAAAACCAGCTCTGTGGAGCTTGCTGGAGTTGTCGTTGACCATACGACCTCTTAAGTAAGGCATTAGGGGCAAAGCACATCCGGGTATCAGGTCCTAAGCCACGAGTTAAGGCAGGGGGTGGAGGACCCAAAGTAAACGGGGGTGGCAGAAAACCCCCCCCCTTCTAGATGCGTCATCGGATAAGGTGGTAAAGTACCCCCGGGGGGGGGGGCCTACTTGAGGTCCAAGGTTTTTCAGGCTGCAGGCGCGATGCAAGATTTAGCGCTGCTTCTTTCAGTCTGGCCTGTGGGTCGTCTGCTGTGCGATTTGTCACCGCATTCGGTGAGTTTGTGCAGCTCACATGAGTTCGCGTGAAAGATCCGCGCGAAATGGACAGGGTTTTGGGTGTCAGGGTCAGCATACCGACTCCCCAAGCCCGGATGCAAAAAAAGGGTCAGCATACTTACCCGGCAGACTTCAGAGGCCTAGATGGAAGAAGGGTTGAGGATGTCGGGTTTTATGTTTGGACCCTGAACCCAAAACCCGACACGCTAAACCTTCATGGTGTACGGTTCAGGGTTCCTTGTTCGACGGAGCTCCTGCTTGCTAGCACTTTCGCCCCGAGCTTTCGTGGCCCCATCTCAAGTAACGTCAACCACCCTGAGCCACACCTTAAAAGACAGACCCTGCTCCCATGACCGAACTGTGAACATCTGTGAACAGTGTGGCATGTCCAGGAAAACGAGCTTGTTCCCGAAGAGGAAGTCACCGCAATCCCAGGACCGTCGGTAAAAGTCGTTAAATGTGCATTCTTGTGTTCGCATCCTTCGCTGTTCTGCGGCTTGTTGGAGGCTGGGCTCCCACAGTGTCACTGGAGGTGCAGGAGACACTGGAGCCGTGTTTATTGAACGTCTGAGCTTTCTCTTGTCAGCACGAAGGACTTCCGCACCGGAGAAGAGGAGGAGGAAGAAATCTACTCGCAGCGCTCGAAGCTGTGCGCATGCATTGTTCGATATTGTTCGATGATGCCGCATTATCTCGACTGAAAGATCTCGGTGAATTGCCAGGTTCCGCTTCAAAGATGGTGAGTGGAAAGAGAGAGGACTTGGTGACTCCAAGTTGCTGAGACACAAGGACGCTTGGCTTGTTTGTGGAATTGCGCCCATCTGTTCCGGTGCATGATCTCTATCCAGCTTCAGGTTTCAGGCAAAGTTCGCTACATGATGCGGCAAGAGAAAACAGGAAAGATCGCGCGGGACCTGTTCTACAGGCGCTTTCGGCGAACATCTTGTGATAAATTGTCTGTGCACAAGGTAGCAAACCACTTTGTGTTCGAGCATGATGTGTACTGCAAACTGCAGAACCAGAATCAGAGATGCGGCCTCAGAGTTTGGGTTTGTGATTTTGTCTGCGATGTAAGTTGTGCAGACTGGTTTGGAGAGTTTCCGAAACCTTCGTTGCATTTGTTTTTTGTCATGAAAGGTGACAAGACGCTTCTGTGGACTGCATTGGACTATGCCGAGGACATGTGCACATATGTGTGATTGTGCGTGCGTGGTCGCCATGTGTCGCCATCGTCTGGTCTCACGCAGGATGAGCAACAAGCGGAGAAGTTCGCGTTGAAGTTCAAAGATAAAGACCTGGCGGAGAAGCCAGACACCCAGACAACACCCATCACACCCATCACCCAGCCCTAACTTGGCTTTGGACTCAGATGCCGCCAAGCCGTCTTGAGCACTTCACTTGCCTGCATCGCGGTATTTGGGTAAACAGGGGTTGCAGCTCTGTATACTGCTGGATTGCTGAGGTTCCGAAGCGCCTTTGACGGCGCAAAAGTTCCACATGTCCCCGGCAACGGTCAGGCCTGTCTGCAGCAACTCAAAGCCTCCAGCAGCGCCTCATGGTCCCAAGTTGCTCTAATTATTCGAGAGGAATTTGGGCGCATTTTTCGAGAAGCTAGGTAACCTTACGACAGAATGTCGTTGCCGAGTCAAACCGCTGGAGGCATTTGTATTTGAAGGATGACGTACGAAGCCAGAATCCTTGCACCAAAAACGTGCCCAAGTCCATCCTGCACGAGTTGTGGCCATTGTTGCTTGAGTTAGTGCTCGTTTTGCACCACCCTTTTACATGTAGAACCGAATGAGAAGGCATGATTTTTGTACAGTGCTCCAAGGGAGGGGGTTCTGATACGTACGATCTGCTGGGCCCGCAGTTCCCTACTACTGAAAGTATGACAGGCACAGAACTTCAACATGAAATCCCGGTTGTACTTGTGTAGTCCTCTCTGATTATCCTTCAGGTCTGGAAATGTCTGGAAACTGGATTGGGAGTTGCCAGCCTCACACGCTCGGTACAGCCGCAAGGCGGTCAGGTGTTCTTTTCTCACTTCACGTGAAGTTCTGACACTTTGGACGGCGAGTCCATGACAGCAGCACCCAGGAAGAGGAAATCCCAGGCGGTGATGAAGTAGAAACTTCACCTCCAGGACGACCATCCTTAACTCCAGGTGGAGCAGGACCAGTCTCGGGACTTTGGAGGACCCCTTTCCCCGTGTGAAAGCCTTCCTTTTGCCTGTTTCGGCAACTGATCTCTCTCGATCTCGAGGTTCCTTCCCTTGTGGGTAGCTTCCTCTTTGTTTGCCCTGCTCGGATCCGGACTGTCCACAGGATTCCTTCAATCTTTTCCACACTTCTTGGCCTTCTGAAGTTCTTTGCGTCGGGAATACGCCTTCAGCAGTGCCTCCGCCTTCCGGACAGGCTTCCTGTCAAATCTCCGGTCCCTGCTGGATGCTGAAGGTGTTCCGGAAGGGCCAACAGTGCAGATTTTTCCGATGGAAACCCACTGTCCGGAACGTGCTTCCACTTTTCGCCACCGAGTTGTGCATGACATGGTGGCGGGGGTGCAAGTGGATGAAGTGCTTCATGAGCGTTTCCTGCAGCATGCCTTGGCCGTTCCGATGCGTCAAATAAAGAGGTCGCTCACTGCCGTCCGGATCCTTGCTTGGGCCGCCGAAATCGACGGCAAGGGTGCTTTGCAAGAAGTTCGCACTCGGAAAGTGCAAGAACAAGTCCTGCAAATCTCGGCATCGTTGTTTCCAGTTTCGCGGTCCAACTTCATGCTCTATGCCTGATTCGATCTGGATGAATCGGCGCTGAGCTTCAAGATGTTGCCACTGTGTCGCCAAACCGGTTATAATCATGTGATGTGCCTGCATTTGGCCGACATTGGGCTCGTACCCGGGCTCTGCACCCAGTCGTGCTTCAGACCTTTCACTCCTGGGCCTTCCGGAGAACTGTGTTGTCATGTCTGTTGTTCTGTCGTAGCTTCTGGATGTCTCACGATTTCACTTCGCTCCGGATCATCTGGATTTCTGGCGGCAGCTTGTTTCGGTGCGGAGTGTGGATCAGGATTGTCACCAGCCGAGGTTTGGCTGCTCTGCCCGGTTCGGTTCTGGCATGCTATCTTTACTGAAGCTGAGTCCACAGACACCTCTGCTAAAACAGGGCACTCCAGTTTGGCAGAAGGGCCGCTGCCACGTTGAGATACTGACCGCCCTAGTGCGTGCTAGAACTTTGAGCATCGGGCCGCATGACTGGGCTATCGTGTATATAATGGCAGAATCTGCAGTTTCGGGGGGGGGGGGGGGGGGAGAAGGGAGAGGGCAGAACAATCAGAAAATGGGGAAAAGGGGAGGAGGAGGGGAGAAGGGGAACATGGGCAAGTGGGGAAAAGGGAGGAAAAGGGGAGCAGGGGAAGGTGGGGAAATGGGCATCATTGTTTTCACATGTTCAAAAAGTCCCATGACGCCTAGCAGAGCCAGCAGCTGCCTCAGTTACAGGCTGACGGAGGACCTTCAAGTGAGCCACGTGAGAGTGGTACGCTTCCAGCAGAACCTGCAAATGCGGCTGGCGAGGCTGGTCTTAGCTCTCGGCATGTTGCCCCCGATTTTCCTGAAATCGTCCGACATGTTCCATGAGGAGAATGATCTCGTTCCCGAAGAAGAGGTAACTGTCGTGCCAGGCTCACGCCAGGTATACGTCTAATTGGGGCACGTGGTAACGTGGTTGACAAGCTGTATTATGCTCGCATTGGCTTTCGCCTCCGTGCTCCAGGCTGGGCTCCGACGGTGACCTTGCAACCGCAGGCCAGACTTGACACAGTCATCATTGGTATCCTGTGGGCATCCATGTTTGGATTTTATGATATGATTGCCCCTTGCCCTTGGTCCCACTGACCTCTGCTACAGGAGATCCGCACTGGCGAAGAAGATGAAGATGAAATTTATTCGCAGAGATCAAAACTGCACGCAAAGCTTGATGGCGAGCGAATATCGTGTGTGTCTCCTGGGGTCTTGACTGCTCCAGGTACCGCTTCAGAGACAACGAGTGGAAGGAAAGAGGGCTTGGTGACTCCAAGCTGCTTCGGCACAGGGTGGGCTGCATCAGTAGATTGAGTAGACAAGCTCAATCAGGCTCAGAGCAAGCAGAGTCCTTATCAATCGTTCGCCAGGCAACAGGCAAAATCCGATATATGATGAGACAAGAGAAGACGGGCAAAATAGTGCAGCTCCAAGAGCTCCAAGACCTTAGAGTTGCTGTGTCCAGGTGTCCAGCAGGGTATCTATGCTCTGTTTTAAACCAGGTGGCGAACCATTACGTGGTCGAATACCCTCCGTATTGTCAGCTCGCCTCGAATGCTGGAAGTTTCGAGCCCAGCATTGGGCGAGTATTCTGAATAGGCTTTTTCGCCGGACTGGCTGTCCATTTTTCATGGCCTGAGATGATAAAATATGGACATGGACAGCAATGGATTGGGCAGAGGACGTCCATTTTTCGAACATGACTTGGACAACTGAATGCAAGTGATGCAGGACGAACAGCAGGTAGAGCAGTTCTCCCTGAAATTCAAGGATGCGGATCTGGCACGGCAGCAGGGGCCATAGAAGCTTCAGCAGCGCGGGTCAATGCTGAAGAGCTTGTAATGCTCAAGAACTTGTAGCCGTGGATGCTGCGAGAGCTGAAAACTTCGAGCAAGCTGCGACCCTGCAGGTTCAAACAGGCCTTTGACAGTGCAAAGGCAGAGACAAAGACAGAGCCGGCGGAGGTACACAGCGTTGCAGACGTGCAGATGTGTGTTGAACGGGTCCAGGGTGAAGCGTCTCTCAGAAAACACGACCCTCGTATGTGCCCCTTCTGGCAGGTTCACAGTTCTGCATGTCATGGCTCCTGAAGTCAGATGGTGTCAGATGGTGTTGCAATCAGTCTTGGTGACTTGTCATGCGAGATCGAACGCTTAACCAAGGAAAACGTGCAACATCTTGCTAGGTCGTGCAATTTCTGAGCTCGCGTAGTAGTCCTTGAGGTGCAGAAGCCTGAAGAGAAAGCAGGTGATGCTGATGTTGCTGATGCAACCGAAGCAGGTGTGCGCAGCTTAGAGCCCCGCAGCCCGACCTGCGGGTTGCCCAACTGTTCCATGTCTTGTCTTTAGCAAGCCTATGCCAATGCACTTTCCTGCCTTTGTCTTTTTCCAACAACAAACCAACTACTAACGCCTGTATAAACCTCCAAGTCCAAGTCCCAGCTCTCTAAAGTGTTTGCAGCTTTCATGGAGGACTGGAAGGGCGTGAATCCGCCCTCTTCTCCCGCAGTGCTCATGGATGCTCATGGGTTCCCTTTTCCAAACTTGTTGTGTGCCTTTTTTGGGACAGCAACGCTGCAACGCAGGGTGTCGCATTTCGTAGCTTCTCGATGGCTTGATAATGAATAATGTGCCAAAGGTCAGCCCCCAGCCAGGGCCGCAGCAAAGTCGTATGAGTCGTATGTTTGTTCCTGTCAGAGATTCTAGGCCTTTCCAGTTTCCAGGCTTTGTTGCTTACATGGTCCAAGGTCAAACAGCCGGGATAGTGGAAACCCGTTTGCGGGAGTCTCCCTGTTTGCCGCGAGTCCGCTGCGATCTTAAGAACGAGAATGTCGTGACAGCATGGCGAGAAAGTCACATGTAGCTCAAAGGCAGTCGTCGGGGACTGCGTTGACCAGCTCGCGCCCCTTGAAAAACTAGCTTTGTAAGCATTTGCAAGCAGCTTTCCGAGCTCCAAGTCATCAAAGCTGAGGTTTGGCGACTTCAGGTTGGGAGAAGAGTTTCTGCACGTGGAAAGCTGTCAGATCGACCGTGGACCAGAGAATGCACATACCTGTAGTGCACACATCTTTTTTTGTGACAGGTGGTTTGTTTAGCTCTCTCGCATCCACGGGCTTGCGTCCGAGCGGGTCTATTTGTGTTCAACATGACGACACTCGTACAGGGTGTAGAAATGTGTAGAAGCAGGTGGTGTTGCCTCTTCGGGTGGGCTCTTTGCAGCTACTGCCTCTGCGAGCACGGGATCTCTGTCGGAGCCTTTTGGGACACTTGGGCCAACTTGTTGTGCGTTAACCTGATTTAACTTCATGCCCCGCGCCGGTGGGGCAGGTTTAGCTCCTCCAGCACGTCGGCCAGTTCTGGTCTTTTTGGCGGCGGCCTGTTCGCCTCGCATGAACCTTGGGTTTGTCAATGCTTGTCAGCTTGTCGGTGCCCTTTGACCCCTGTATACACCTCCCGTCATCGCTGAAGGGCCAACACAAGTGGTGGCTTGTTCAGCGGCTGGAAGCTTAGGTTGTTTGCCTTGTCGCTGCAAGTTCCAAAAATCTCGAAATGGTTGTGCAAGGAATGTCATTTGGTGCGAACAAGGCGGCAAGCTTAGTTCCAAAAATCTTTCACAGGCAGCACCCTTAAAACAGATCACCAGGCGGACTCACCCCAAGAACAGGCCGAGCCCTCAGTTTTCAGAGTTCAGATTCGATGACAGATGGTGCGATGAAATGCGTTCTTGTTTTTCGATGTGAAGACCCTGCGGCATCCGACGGCTTTCAGAACATGGGGGTAGCTATGATTATGTAACTATGTTATGTAGCTATTCAGTCATTGGCAGCTAGCCGCCTGCTGATGAGATTGACGCATACGGACACACCGGGCATGAACAACAATCAGTTGCAAAGACACCAGCTGAGGCGACACACTGACACACTCTGCCGACACAGGCAAGCACTCGGCATGAGCAATGCGCCCCGCAAACGCAGACTGCCTGCATCGCTGCGGGTCGCAGTTGTCGGTGGGACTTCCCGTGCTGGGCTTCCCCTTGCTCTCGTCCTGGCAGATCGAGGGCACCGTGTGGTATTAGTGGATGATGACGTGCAAATTAAGGGGCTCAAGAAGGGGCAGCTTCCATTCCTTGAAGCTGGTGGACCGGAAATGCTAGCACGATGTTTGGGACATTCTGGACATTCTGACAGCCTGGAGCTGACCTCGAATTTGTCCTCCATCCGGGGCTGTGCCGTGGTGATTCTGACGGCTGGCACGCCCGTCGATGAGCGGCTCACTCCGGATTCTACCTTGGTTGACAATGCAGTCCAGGCCATCAAGCCGTTCCTTCAAGGAGGGGAGACGGTCATGCTTCGCTCATCGGTGTTCCCCGGTACGTCAGACCGGGTTCAGCATGACGTCGGGTCTCTGCCAGATGTTGGAGTGAGCTTTTGCCCGGAACGGCTTGCAACAAGTCAAGCGATTCAAGAACTCACCCAGGTCCCTCAGATCATATCTGCATCGTCAGCCCAAGCCATGGATCATGTGAGAGCGCTCTTTGCTCCGCTTGGGGTGGATTTGGTAGAACTCTCATTGCTGGAGGCTGAGGTTGCGACACTCTTTCTGAATGCTTGGCGATATGTTGGCTTCGGCACTGCCAATCAGTTCTACCAAATAGCTGTTTCGAAAGGCTTGGACTTTGATAAGATTCGATCGGCCATTATGCATCGATACGAACGTGCAGCGGGTTTTCCAGGTTCTGGCTTCACTGCCGGTCCACATCTCTTTCAAGACACAATGCAGTTGGCAGCCTACAGCAGGCATACGTTTTCTTTGGGCCATGCTGCAGTGTTGGTGAACGAGACAATGCCCGATAGTCTGGTGGAGCAGGCTCGACGGCACTTGCTGACTCAAGGCCGAACTTTGGAGGGGCTGAAATGTGGCATTCTAGGAATGGCGTTTAAGCCGGACACGGACATTTGCTCGAAGTCCCTCGCCCTAAAATTGAAGCTTCTGCTTCAGAGGGAGGGCGCAAACGTGCTTTGCTCTGATGCGAACGTGCCTCCCGAAGCTGGTCTCGGAGAAACCATCAGCGAAGAGGAGCTCTTGCAGTCTCTCAGATGCCTTTATTTAAGTTTTAAGCCTTTTAAGCAGGCAGTTTGTAATCTAATGTCGCCAAATGTAATCTCTGAGTTTTGTCGAATCCAGCCGAATCAAGTTGGCGACGTTTGTGAGCAGTTTCTGAGGGTTTGCGAAGCCGTGGCAAGCCATTGCTCAGGTCAAGCGAAGCAGTTTTCATCGGATGCCCGCATTCACGATACCGCAGCCTTCCGCTCCACAGCCATCCCTTAGTCTTCGATTGTTGGGGCTTCACCTGCCCACCCAAGCTCGCAATTCAGTCCACCAAGCAAGCGCAAGGCGAAGCGCAAGGCGAAGCGCAAGGCGAAGCGCAAGGCGAAGCTGCGAGGCCCTTGAATTCGAAGACCTTGAAGGTTGCGGTGGTTGGGGGCGCCGGGCATGTCGGACTTCCGCTCTCGCTGGCCCTCGTGAAATGCGGGCACTCGGTGACGGTGGTGGACAAAGACTCGGAGAAGTTGGTATCGATCAAAGCCGGCAAGTTCCCCTTCCTTGAGGCTGGCGGTGCTGCTCTACTGCAGCACTGTCTGGACAAGCATTCCGACAGATTGCAATTTTCGACATCAGTGGCTGGAATAAGTGATTGTGATGTCGTTGTTGTTACCATTGGAACGCCAGTTGATGAGCACTTGAACCCTTGTTTCCCCGTGATACAGGATTGCGTCAATGAGCTGAAGCCTTTTTTGCGCGATGGGCAGACACTGCTTCTGCGCTCGACCGTCTTTCCTGGAACTTCGTCTCGGGTCTTAGCAGACTTGAGAAAGATGGGATCTCGAAGTCAAGCGCTCGATGTAGGTGTCAGCTTCTGCCCAGAGAGGATTGCACAGGGCAAAGCCATTGAAGAATTAATGGATCTGCCACAGATTGTGTCAGGGTCAGAGGCACGAGCGCTTGACCACGCAAAGGCCCTGTTTGGACCACTGGGCGTTGACTTGATAACGCTTCAGCTGCAGGAGGCCGAGGCAGCCAAGCTCTTCTTGAACGCATGGCGGTACGTAGCCTTCGGAACAGCAAACCAGTTTTATCACATTGCCAGTTCCAAAGGCTTAGATTTCGAGAAGCTTCGAGCTGCTATCGTGCACCGCTACCCTCGCGGCAAGGATTTCCCGCGCTCAGGTTTCACAGCTGGCCCCTGTCTGTTCAAGGATACCATGCAGTTGGCGGCCTATTGTCGGCACACCTTCTCACTGGGTCATTCAGCAATGTTGGTCAACGAGACAATGCCAGATTGTGTTGTTGAGCATGCCAGGCGTGATCTCAGTCAATGCAAGCCAGTCAAGCGCAGTTTGCAGGCGGCAAAATGCGGAATTCTTGGTATGGCATTTAAGCCGGACAATGATGACTCAAGGGAGTCCTTGGCCTTCAAGCTTCGTCGACTTCTGGTCTGGGAAGGAGCGCAGGTTCTCTGCACTGATGTTCACTTGGCGCGTGAAGACTTTGCCACCCTCCATGACGTTCTTGAGTGTGAGCTTCTCTTCATGGGCTGCCCGCATTCTGAGTACAGGGACATTGTGCTTCGCGAAGGTCAAAGGATGTATGATTGCTGGGGCTTCTTCGCAAGGCCCGCTTTGACAATTTCGAGTCCATAGGCGCTCTCGGGCTCAGCAGTGTTCCACAGTGCAGTGGAAGGCTCTATGTGGCAGAAAATGGTCCGAACTTGGTGTGTTTTCATATGTGTTCATGCTTCACTCATGCAGTCTGCAAAGATGTTGCTCAGAAGCAGCGCGGCGAAGCTCCGGTGCACAGTAGCTTGAGATGAAACCAGGATAGGCCAGGTACATGTTTCATGTCATAAGGCGGGAAGCAAATCGTCGGCAGAGGACGCTTTGTGTGACAGCGTGGCTGACGTCCTGCTGTAGAGATCAGACATAGCCAGGCATGGACATCCTGTTTCTTTTCTTTGGCAGGCTGCAGCCCCATTTGCAAGCCTGTGTGGTCCTCAGAGGGGACGTTTCTGTGGTGCGGCGGCATGCTTTGCTTTGCTTGTGGAGCAGTTCTGAAACATCCTTGCAAAGGACTTTTGCTGCCAGTACGGGTGGTCTGTTTGGCAATGCTTCAGGCAGCCTGTTTTCTAGCTTTGCGCTCAGCAGACGGAGCTTGCAAGTGAGGGTTCACTAGACTAGACTAGACTAGACTAGACGCAGCCTCACCTGTTGCAAAGGCGGCGGCCTGTTTGGAAACTCTGGCAATTCCAGTAGCTCTGGCAGTGGCCTCTTCTCGGGAACTGGTGGGGGTGGCAGCTTGTTTGCGGGGCTCCCCGAGAGCTCCAGCGGCGGAATTTTCAGCAACACCAGCACAGCGACCACAGGCATCTTCAGCCGGCTGCTTACCCGATCAGATTCGCACATTTTCGCATGACTTGTCGTTTACTCTTCTGAGAAGAACTCCAGGCTCGGCCGCGTCAGGAAGCCTCTTCAGTGCAGCATCGGGAGGCCACCAACATCCAACATGGGGCAGTGGCCTTGTAGCCGCTTGTAGCCGCTTGTAGCCGCTTGTAGCCGCTTGGACTCCAACTTCCTGGGACTTGCTCAATCGTAGGTTCAAAGAGTGGTGACGTGCTTGTTTTACTGGACTGTTTACGGTTTGACAACGATAGTTTATGCTTCATTCGTTGGTTTCCTGAAAACCGCTTGTTGGAATGGCAGCTGGGGTAGCTGGGCCTCCTGTGGCACATGTGGCACCGAAACAGCCTAAGCTGCTAATCTCTCCATGCGAAGATGAAGCACCTTGTGCACTGCCGAGATGGTGCTCGCTTCCTGACGAACGATTCGATGCTGGCATCGAAGTCTGGAGACTTTCTTCAAAACCAGCCTCTGCAGCGCCGGAGCCGATGATCTTGGGCCGCCGTGCCTGGTTCCAGTTTGGCAGGCGACACTCTGCTGGCACAAGTGGGCGTCAGCCAGACATTGAGTTACACACGCGCACTGCTTCAAGGAAGCAGGCCCTTCTGTTGCGAAATTGGCATGGGCAGGTGTTCATCATGGATATGGGGTCATCACATGGCACTTTTCTAGGTCGTCAAAGGCTGGAAGCGAATTCGGCGAAAGAATGGAAACCTGGAGTTAAAGTGTGTTTCGCAGATCGGAACACCGAGACTTTTGAATTGCTGCCTCGGCGTTTGCCACTTCCTGCTTTGGACAGTCTGGACATCTCCGAAAGCCGTCCTCTTGGCGCTGCCAAAGCAGCTTCTGCCAAGTTTGCAGGGGCACGGCAGATGATGAGAGCGCAACTTGCGCAGCTGGGAGGCAACGGACTTGCTAAAGACTCCGTGTGTCAAAGCAGTGGCCCTCCAGAGACACAGGCCTCCTCAAGGCCCGCAGACATTCAACCGGAGTGTCCATTATGTCCACTGTATCCCGGAGAGTGGCAAGTTCCTGCAGATGGGCTTTCGGCGATTGGCTGGAAGCCAGGCTTGACCCCCAAGGCTGTGCACGCAATGTCGCTTCCTGAAGGCACAAGCAGGAGAACTAGTGCCGACAAGGATTCTGTAGCCGCAGCCTCGTTGCAACAACGACCCACTTTGGCAGTGAGGATCGAGAGAAAGCTGCGCAGCCAGTTTGGGCCTGACATAGGCCGCAACTTGCATGCTTGGGGGCCTCACTACCCCTGCCCAGACCACGAAACAGGATGGCAGGTCAGCCTCTACACCAGGATGAGTGCCCGTTTCGACACTGCAAGACCGGCAGTTGTGCTGACGGCAGCTTTCGTGAAATCGCCGCCGGATTCTGCAGTGAGCCTGGAGTGGCTGACAAATATTCCAGATGCCAGCAGGCCCAGCAGGAGGCAAAAACAGCAAGGGGGCTGCCGGCTGTTTGTGCGATTGACGGTTGCGCCGCCAGAAGTCGCTGAGCCTGCCACCAGTGGATTGTGGCAGCTGGACTTACCCCTGCCAGCAGACTCAGAATCAAAAGCGCTCGTGCCCTTGCCAAGTTCCCCAAAAGCAAGGCTGCCGTCAAAGTTCTTCGTTCGGATTTGCAGCAGCGAAGCTCTGAGTCACGACGGGGTTCCGCTGGGCTTCGAGTTTGGCTCTTCTCTTCGGCCTGTCTGGCTCCAAGGGGATTCATGGAGCATCAACAAAGCGTCCACAGAACATGTGATGCCACAGGCTTCAAGACTTGTTGATTTGGAGCCAGCATCAGCAAGTGAAGCCCGTGCAGCCAGTGCAGGCAGGGGTTCCGTGGGTGGGAAGTCGAATTCATCCCATGTGTCCCCGGATTCTGCGGGTATTCTGAGCTCCACGAGCTGTGCCAGCCGGGCAAGTACGCTGGTCGCTTCATCAAGCGCTGAGGAGGACCGCGCAGGCCGTGAAACTCGAAGGTGTTTGAGAACAGCACCCCAATCAGAGAAGGGCCATGCTTCTTCGGAAGCTCAGCAGGAAGATGTGAAGCGAGCATCCACAAAAAGAAGACAGAAGAGGCAAATGTCGAACAGGGAGTTCGTCATTAATCATTGCCAACGATTTTTTGCCCGAAGATCGGGCCGCAGAAGAACTCAGCAGCACTCGTCAGACATGGATGAAAATTGCATGTCGTCTGAAGATGGGCGCCCATCGCAGAGTAAGCGCTCAGAGGAAGCGCTCATGAATTTGTCTGCTGCCCAACTGTTGAGTCACATGAAGAAAGGAATCAGATCGCGTCGGCTGATAGCGCCCGACTTCAAAAGCGGCAGGCTACGAACAGCTTACTCGCAGGCCTTGGAACAGCTTTGTCACGATGGTGGGTCGAAGAAGCGATGCCGACACACCTGACACGCCCATGGTGGAGTACCGGAAAAGATCGGTATAACGTGGCATAACATGGGATAACCTGGTAAACCATGGTATAACATGGTATTTCACAACGAGCCGCTCCAAAACATCCCAAAGCCAACGACCTCTCGTGGAGTTGAAAGCATCTGAATGCATGGACTTGAGGTGCTCGGGGAATGGGCGATGGAGGTGAAGTTGCAGATGGCCAAAATCTCGGATGCTATGAATCTGTAAGATGTCGCTCCTTGTGCTGATTCTTCGCAAGCCGGCACGAGCCGATATGCGGTACATGAGCAACGGCTGCTGTCAAGCCTTCGCAGCCAAGTTTCTGAAGCTACCGGTGGCAGCAAACCTGCTACATTGCTTCAGATTGCTTCTTGAAAAACGCCGCAACTGATTCCTGCCCTGCACACGCAAAGGGAAAAAAGCGGCGTCTCATTGCAAGCCTTGGCAGTGCACATCGACACACGCCGCTGGTGGAAGGCATTCTTGGAGCAACGTCAACACCTCAGCAGACGTTCAGACGCCCGCAGAGCCTGGAACGCTTTCCCAGATGATCTGCGATTTCTGCGAAGTGTACTGCAAGCTTCGGGGCCTAGGACGACTACAGCAGCAACCGAACATGCTCCATCGCCATCACCGGGGCTGTCCCATCCGTGGATCAGGATCAGCTGTTGTTCTGCCGCAGCGAATTATTGTTTTGCTGAGGTGGGCAGGGGCAACAGCCAACGGGGCCCAGGCCCATGGCCATTCGCTGCACAACTGTTCATTGAGTGGTGCTTGTGTTCTGGATCTCATTGCATGAGGATGATGAGCAGCTCAATGACCAGTATGTACTGGAGGAAGAAGTTTGTGGCCAAGGAAGTGAAACAGATTGAAAAAGACTGTAGTTTTCTAACTCTCTCTGTTTGCACGACGAGGTCACACAGATTCCTGGTTGGGCTCCTTCGGTGACCCTGGAAGTCAAGGATTACGTCGAAACAGGTGAAGAAGAAGAGGAGGCACTGGTGACACTAGGAGATAAAGCTTGCCAGAAGCACGTTCTTCGTGTCAGGAGATGTACAGCCAACGCTCAAAGCTCCTCCGGTTCGTCGACAATGAGTGGAAGGAACGGGGAACAGGCGATGCCAAGATTCTCAGGCCCCATGTGGCACAGATCTCACAACGTCTTGCAAGCATCCATCGTTGTAGAGGCACAGAGTCACAGGAAAATGTCGCTTCCTGATGCGGCAAGAGAAGCCGAAGCCTGACAGAGCGACACTGACACCGAAGCCCTGATTCTGTTTTGCTGCTGCAGTGCAAATGTGCTAAGGACTTCCAAGATTGTCGCGAACCACTTCATCATCGAACAAAAGCCATATTGCGAACATGCCTGAGAGATTTTTTGTGATGGCCAAAGTTCGACTGCCCCAGTGGCCAATCGCCCGTGTGCCAGGACTTGGTGCACAATGCAGGCAACGCCAAGATCTGGGCCTGTGCCTTAGAGCCACTTTGCTTGGAATATCGTGCCCGTGCGCTGCCAGTAGGCAAGAAAGCCAGGTGTGGACTGCATTGGACTGGGCAGATGACGAGCAAAAGGCCGGGAATAGACGATGCTAGGGTGAACCCGTCGAACGCCTGCCGTTCGCGAAAAGGTGGAAAAGTTTGCTCTCCGCTTCAAGACGGAAGAATTGGCCACCCATCGTTGTTGGATCATAGGTCTCCAGAGTAGTTCAACATTTAGTGACTTAGGCTGAGGAGTTTGAGGAGGCCTTCAATGCAGCCAGGGGCAGCTTGCCCAATGAACCACGCACTGAACCGGAAGGGGGTTGGCAATCTGACCTGTTGCGAGTCGTGTGTAAGGTGGCGAAATGGTTGGAGATGTGCCTGACCTGGCATTTTTGCGGGCGATGCACCATGTGTGTGTCTGTGTGTGTGTGTGTGTGTGTGTGTGTGAAATTGTGTAAGTGTAAGAGAGTAGTATGTCAAATGTGCTCAAGGCCGGGGACGCGCTTTGGACTTGGCCACTTGCGGTAGCCTTGCGCGCGACGCCTGCAGAACGTCTTCGGATGTCTTAGGCACGATGATGACGACTGGGAGAAGGCCTGGACACCTGCTGTGCTCTTAGAACCTGCCAGAAACGTGGTAGGCATCATGCTTTGACATCCTTTGGCACGGAGAGATCGACTAATTTCGGCAAATCTCGGCATGTCTTGTAGACGTACCAAGATATGGCGGAACCAGTTCAGATCGGGCTGTAGTGAAGTGGGGGCAGGGCCGAACACGGGCAATTTAGTAGAGCCCCACAGCAAAGAAGTTAAGATAAGGCTGCTGTCGAACGCGTGCAGCCTTCAGTAGCACATGGTGGCACACCACAACGCCATGGTCTGGAAGATGGGTTCGGTGTGGCTGCTGACGATTTCAACAGTGTCGTGTGGTCCATACGTTACCATCGCGACCAATCCATCCAGTCCGTCTGCATGCGGCTCGAAGAGTTTGGGTTGTGGAAATCTTTCTTGCATGCGTGTGCATAGTGTGATGGCCGCTGGTATTGTTAGTCGGACGCAAAACGATTTGACCAGGTGCTTCTCACATTCAGTGCTCAGCTTTGAGCGGCGACTGCTGCCCTACGGCAACTGGCAAGTTCCTGGAATGCTGCAATCAGGCAGGACCTACACTCATGTTCCAGCAACGCAGAAACCTGTCTGCTTGTTGCGCATGAGTGAAGATGGCCAAAGTTGTTACACGGTTCCGAGCCAGCTTTTGTTTGGCATGCATTAGATAAGAAGAGACGTGTCTTCGCTTATGTTTCCTTACCTGTATTAGTGTACTTCTGTTCTGCACCATAATTTCAACATGCGGCTTTCTTTTTGAAATCAGTAAGAAGGTCGGGCAAGACTTGCCACCGATGCCTCCACCGCTTGCAGACGAGACCGGATCCATGAAGCCTGCGTGCAGGGCATACTTGCAGGCTCCGTGTTTCAACTCCTGCTGCCACTCGGATGATGCATGTACCTGACATCTTGGCCTGAGGCGAAGGGTTTGACATCTCCAGAAGATCTGGCAAGCAGGCTTCAACGGTGTCAAGGTGAAGCCTCGAGGACTTATGCTCCACGGCCTGAACCAGACATTCCCAATGCTACGGAATCTTGCCGGCACCCCGACATGAACCCCGGGGCAAAACATGCCATCACTTGCCCGTGTGGGCTCATGATGGCTCATGCGTCTTGTTCACATGGCCCAAGACTTTCACAAGAGCAGTCCACAATTTGGTAAAGTCAATGCTGCGCTTGAGTGTATGTTGCTGGCATACAATGGCTTTCGCTTCCAAACTTGTACGGCATCATACGGCATCCCAACCTCATTCATACGATTTATGGCTTTCAAGTCTAGTCATGCTCCAGTACTGCGACTTCCAGCTGGCCTCGATGCGACTGCTGAGAAACGAGACATCCGGCAAAGTCATAATGTCACTACGATGAGGCTTGAGAGCCGCTCTGTCACCATGTTTTTTTGGCCAGTTTAAAGGCATCTGAAGCTGTTCTCTTCGCTTACAGTTTTTGGCTCTCGTCCGCTCCTCAATTTTCACACTGCAGAGTGATTGCAGCCACCGATTCGCTTCCATGTGAGAAGGCAAAAGAATCCCAGTTGGGCAGGTTCCGGGCCCCACAGCCCGCATGAAACGAACAGGAGAAATGCCTCAAGAAGTCTGCGTACGTTTATCTGACAAGGACGGCCTCGAGAAAGTGGCCACATGTGGCCATGTTGTCATAGCAGCGTACGTCCATGCCGCTCTCCAGCCGCTCCAGCCCATCAAAATCTTCATGGTTTCGATATTTTCCAATGTTTTTTTCCATGTTGTTGCGTCGACCTGCAAGTAAAGTCCAACTGTTTGCCTGGTGGCCTCGTGCAGGGTTGCAGCACTCCTTGTGAGGGGGTGAAATTACTGCTGCCCGTCCGTGTGAGCCAGTTGCCCGCTTGCCTTGCGTGTTCCCCGAATTTATTTCATTTGTTTCTGCCATACTTTGCCCCACTTGCCCGACTTGCCCCACCAGTGCACACAGTGCCAAAATTTGACGGGGGCAACGGGCTGCGGAGGAATGGACACGAGGCTGGAACAAGTGGCAGTTCGGCAAGTAGGTCATGGGCGTAACGATTTACCACACCCTACTTCCGACACACTCCAAATTGTTGCAAACTACCAGTTAACGCGCGGTATTTGCCCTGCGTGCGGGCTCTGCGCGACAAATTTTTTGGGACAGCATGTTTGGGATTTTTTACTGCAAGGGAAACGTTAAACGTCACTGGGGTTCCGGAATCTGTGTGCTCGGCGCCTCTCCGTTGGGTAAAGTGCCGATCGGCAAATCCAGGCAGATTCTTCCTTGTAAGAAGATTGAGAAGGTGCCCGGCGACAGACAGGCTGTGGGACTGCACCGAAAAGCTGCCACAATCACGGAGCTCAAGACTTAATCGTCCAGACACTTGTCATGGCCAATAAGGACACGACCAATTTGCAGTGTCAGCCCCTCGGCTCGAAAGAAGGTTCACGTGCCCCTCTGGAGGAGTGACATTGGGACCGGGGAACCAGCTTGCGGGATCATCGGTGGTATTGTATTGTATCCCCTTCTTCCACTTGATGTCTTAAGATGTCGAGATCTTCGAAGTTTGATGTGTTTTCTGGGTTGCGTTTTGCAGCCGTCGTTGAATTGTGTTCGCCTAAGCTCCTCACAGCGCATTGCAGCCATTGCTCTTGCCGGATAAATCCGAGTTGTTCGTTGTGCACGGCCAGGTATACATCCGCCTTGAATGCGCACTCAAGTTGTTGTGGTTGGAGGCCACATTTCAATTGGGTGGTGGGTACCTGTGAAAGGAACCCTCGGATTCCCAATGCTTCCTTTTGTGACGGTGTTCCGGAATGTGCTCGGGAGCCCAAGATCAACTATGCCGCCGTGCCTTGACTTGAAGAGGGCATCACCCAGAAGCAAAGCATCGATTTACAGTTTCTGCCAGTTTCTGCCGCCTTTTTGATGCGCTGGCGCCAGACTCATATGCTGATGCTGCGGGGAGGAATGACAGTTTGCAGCGTTGCTGCTGCTGTCGCGGTAGCTTGTGTTACACATGTTCCATTTCCCTTTGCCTTAACTTGTCTTCGTCCCCTTCAGGGAAAGTTGAGAATTGCTTTCGTTCTCCGATGATGGCTGGGTCCAGGTGTACATGTAAGGCAATGTAAGGTACATACGCACCAGGCAGGAGCGCTAGCATTGATGCTAATGATGATCAGCAAAGTGTCTGTATTCTAGTGTGCAGTGTCGTATGACTTTTTGAACTCATGATGCAGCAGTGGTGCTCCCGACATGTGACCGTTTTCGTGCAGGCGGAGGAAGTTTAGGTTCTTTTTCCCCAAACAGCTTACTGCAGGGGCTTATTGTTTATTTTCCGCTTGTCTTGCCTTCATCCCTCATTGTGTTTTCCTCATGTGGGTGGATGTTGGGCCAACGTCCGCGCCGTCAAGCGTGTGATGTGGTTCAACATCCACCTCTCTGACGGGCCAACCAGCCCTCAAGCGTGGATGTTGCCCAAGTTGGCTCGGCATCCACGCTGACAAATGGATGTTGGCCTCGCCGCTCAAGCCGCCGCTCAAGCCTGGATGTTGGCCCACCATCCACCTCTCAAGCCCCCCCCGGCCCAGCATCCAGGCTTCAAGTGTGGATGTTGGCCCAACATCCACCCTGACCTCCAACGATTGATGGTGCCGAAGTCGTCCTTGCCTGAATGGCTGTGACATACTGGAATTCCCATTGTTTGCATAGGTGAACATATCCATTCCAAATCCTCGCCAGGAGCGTTCCTCGTCATTCCCGTATACTTGATACTTTTGAAGTCTCGGGCTTATTTCTTGCGAGGTCCAACCAATTTGCGCTGTAGTATGTGAATACGCCATTCCACTCTTAGCTATTTGGGGTCTTCGCTGGTGTTAATGTCTCTGTACTTTCTCAGCTTCTAAAGTCACAACAAGCAAGAAACGTAGCAGCAGAAGGTGCAAGAAATAGAACAAACCAAAACGCAGAACTTGGGGTGGTTTCTTGCGAGGTCCAGCCAATTTGCGCTGTAGTATGTGAATACGCCATTCCACTCTTAGCTGTTTGGAGTCTTCGCTGGTGTTAATGTCTCTGTACTTTCTCAGCTTCTACAGTCACAACAAGCAAGAAAATCGCAGCAGAAATAGAACAAAGCAGAAAGCCGAACTTGGGGTGAGCACTGGAGGCCAGGAGGCGAAGAGGCGAGGAGGCGAAGCGGCGAGGAGCATGCTTGACTTAAAAGGGGAAGCAACAAGACAATGAGCAGCTTCAAAAGTGGCAATTAGGGCCTTCAGGGCTTTTTTAACGGGTTAGGCATAGGTGTTTTTGGACTTTTTGGGCTCGCGAAATGCGAAGCAGTCGTGGATTTGGACTTGTGGGCTCACGTGGTCTCGTCTCGCTGTTTAGGGTCTACGCTGCCATTTTATGGGGTAATCCTGTTCCTGTATAGAGGGAAAACAGGCTTTCTTGGGAGAGGAGATTGAGGTTTCCTAGGAAAGTCTAGATACAGAGGAAACAGAGGCCCTAGGTTTTAAGCACAGCGCACATGGGATGTGGGACCTAAGCGAGAGCGTGACTTCGACCATAGAATCCGCAGGAATGCCTACGGGTGCTCGGTGCTAGGCGAAAGCACGAGTTCGATTACAGAACGTGCGAGAGTGTGTGTGTGTGTGTGTGTGTGTGTGTGTGTGTGTGTGAGACCTACTTGGGTGAGAGCGCGACTTTGACCAGGGAATGCGTCCGCGACCTACGTAGGTGAGAGTGCCATTTGATCATGAAATGCATTTGACTCCCGCCTGCTGTCTGATTCCGTCAACTATTAAAGCACCCGTGAGAACAAATATCTTACATGGCGGGCAACAACAATACCATTAGTGAGCATGTTCAATTCGCTAGCTCACTTACATGCGCGATCATCTCGCTCGTTCACTATTACCCATTGAGGGGTTGTTAAGGGCCAAATTCCTATATTGTATAAGGGCCCCTGAAAGGAACAAGAAAGATAGTGCTTCTTGGGTATTTTGTTCCTTGGCAGTCAATGGTCAATAGCTTTTGGTTATAGACAGTTTTCTGTTACATCCCCGTAAACACCCCAAGCCTCTTGTTTCGGATTTTGGTCGAGGGCTGTGATTTATCGGTTTGTTCGCAGAAGTTGTTTTCTGATCCTTCTTCTGTTGTTTCGAGATTGTTTTCGGAATTCCTCGATGCACAACTTGGATCAGCCTCGGCTAGAACACTTTGGTGGGTTCAGGGTCTACACCCATGGTCGGTCGAGGGTCTTCCTTCGGGCTGCCACTGGATCTCAGAAGTAATGGAGGGGCGGATGCGTGTTGGATGGTGGAGAGTGGTGGATGGTGTTAGTTAGTGACAGTTGGTGTTAGGTGCTGGTGACGGCAAGGCAGGCGTAAAGACTAGGACATGCTCATTTCCCCAGTCGCCGCAGAACTGTAGCAGCCGCGACCGCTAAGGCATACCAATTCAATGGCACCCATTTTGTTCTGCAGGATGCATCCACAGCTGGAGATGTTTCAGATGCAGGAGTTTCAGGATCCTATGATTCGAGGAAAGGGTGGGAATCCACGAAAGCTCGTTTCCGCTGGGAAGGTGGCGAAGGTGATTGGCCAACCAAATACGCTCCGTGGGGACTTGGCGAAAGTGGACCCCGTGGCATCACTCCGCCCGCTGCATTGTGGGTGTTGAGTGTTGACAGCTTTTACTATGGTACTTTGTATATGCTTTCGCAGCTGACCCTGAACACGCAAGGTGTTGGTGAGCATGCCAATTGCTGGGAATGGGAGTTCGATGCAATCGAGGGGCTCATTGGAACAGTGCCAAAGGGTCACTCACTGCCGGGCAACATCAACCAGCTATATGTCACTGCCACCTCCCAGGTCAGCGGCTGCATGCCGATGCCAGGAACGGCTGCACAGGGAAATGGCCAAAAAAGGCACTTTTCCCAACCACAGAATTTTCAAAGGTTTTGCGAAAGCAACCCGACGGCAGTGGGCTGCCAGCCTTGGACTGTTGAGGGTGCAGACATTTGGCATGGCGGTGGGTATCGGAGCACGGACCGCTTTGAGAATTCCGAGAATACCCCTTATGTGTTCGCTGTGGCTCATGCCTCGGTACCAGTCTTTCCTAGTAGAGATATGTATATTCAAATAATCTTTCGAGTCGTTTCGAGGGGTCTTGACCCAGGTTCTTGACCGTCAAGGCTGTTGGGTATATCGCTGGCGACCCGACGACAGCTCTGGTGAAACTGGCTGGCCAGGCATTTCTCGGACCAGTGCCAAGCGAGTGCTTCCGAAACGGCCTCATAGGATTTCCGAGCCGAATGGGCTGCAGACGAACGTCAAGTCCAGTACTCGCGAAGCTGTCATTCTCATCCCCAGCCTGCCGCCGGAGGCCTCTTGCATGCGATCCCTGCCAGAACAAGTTGATTGGCGCTGGGGTGCCGCGGCGCTTGGAGCCATGGCCTATGAAGCAGACGACTACAAGTTGGGCGACAAGCTGCAAGGAGCACAGAATTGGTGGGCTCATTTCGCAGATACTGGACAACTACAAGATTATCCACTTTCCATAGCTGGAACCCCTGCTTCGGACGCTTCTGCCACAGGTGGTTCACAAGCTTGTGATCAACGCGAGAAGTTCGGCAAGACATGCAATTGCATAGCTGGCTCGCGAGAAGTGGCTTTTGTTTCAGAAGCGCATGCTGCAGCGCCGGCTTCAGAGGTGGGGCTGATGATCCAGAATCTACTGCAAGGCCGACAAGCAGAAAGCCCACCGGCACACTAGAATCATTCGAATGAAAGCACAGCTGCGAGGGTTGCTGAGCACGCCCTTGCAGATGCAGCGCCTAGGGTGCATGTCGACATGTCGACCCATGAGACAGCAGATGACTGTACAGTTTCTTTGCCTCAAGCGCATCATCAGATGAGTTTTGCGTGGCCTAAGCTGCGCTTGATCGAGCCGTTGCAGCAAGAATTGGAACGCTTGTCCGAAGCCGCAAGCACGAAGCTGGAGTCAGTACCAATGCAAAGGCGGAGGCTTATGGATCTGCTGATGGCGGAGGTCTGGCAGCTCTTGCAGCACTGCAGGCCTTGAGCTTAGCCGAGTTTCGGATTCATTCCGCGAAGTTTCCGCGATGCCCTATTTGTCATCCATTTCTCACGTGCAATTTTCCAAACTCGATTTCGCAGAACCATTCGGTTAGGCCCTTGCTCAGATGTGTTCAGGCAAATTCGGGCTGGCGCTGTGCTGGCTGTCGGCTGCAGTGGGCGGAGCAGGCTAATTTGATTGCCGCTGCCAGGACAAGGTGAGTCGGCTGAGCCTTATGCTGGGAGGATATCGAGTGCAGTGTTTGTGACATTGCACGGCCGGGCTATGAATCCCAGGCTCGGGGCCGAACTTTCCAGGTTGCCTGTCGCACGTTCAGAGAGCTCAAAGCATGCAAACTTGTTGTGCTTCGGAGGTCGCTGCCGCCAAGGCTGAGAAGGAGTCGGGCAAGCCTGAAGCCTTTTTTTGCCAACTGCCCTTGAGCACCACAACATACCACAACTTGTGAGCAGCAAGATGCTTCATGAGGCAGAATGCAGCAGCTGCGTTCTTGGGAACCACTCAGCGCCTGGGCTGCCCTAAGCATCCCAAGGGCGCTGTGGAGCACAGGACAAAGCCACACTGCCGCAGTCAAGGTCTAGTGGGGCTGGAAACTTCGCCCCGCAATTGCCTTGATGTTTCCCAAGATGGAGCGAGCCATCGTCCACGTTGTTGTGCATGTTGTCTCTGGTTCAGACATGGGGCGTAGGTCTTCAAGCTCGACGGCAAATGCTGGCATTGAGTATCTCAATTGCAGTGGTCTGTTGTGTTTCCCTGGGTGCTCGATGTTGCTGCTGTCTTCATTTAAGGTTCGGTTTTGCTGCCGCGCCATCCACTGCAGCGGCCCTATGCTCGACGTACTTTCTTGTAGCAGAAACTTGGACGTGTCTACAAGAACGGAAAAATGGTTGTGAATCCGTTCACGTGTTTTTTTTTGTCTTCTTGTACTTCTCGGACAATTAAAATCGTCTCATGGTGCGTAAAGCAGCCTTAAATTCAACATCTGCGTCTCATGGGTTAGCTTTGGAGTATTACCAGAAGAGTCATCGTTCTCAGCGAACTGACCTCGCACGACATACACTGACATGAGCCTTGACACTGAGGCGCTCAGTATGCCCATTCTGTAGGGCACGCATGCTGACAGCTCCCTGAAAAGGCCCAGTCCGGTCCATCGATCTTTGGGACAAGTGCCAGTTCTTCCGGCTCACTCTTTGGCAGAGACCCCGGAAGCCTTGAGATGTTGCGGCATTATGCATCATTGCTCTGACTGAGCCAGTTTGAGTCACAAGGTGGGACATCGTCTTCGTCGTTCTTTGGTGCTTCTTGCGGCTCCGATAGAGGCAGGAACTTAACAAGTGCTGCAGTTGTGCCACTGAAATCTTTTGGTTTTCTTGCCAGAGCGCCAAGCTTTCTTTCATTCGCTTTCATATGCCTTCATCGCCGGTCCATGGACGAGGGTGCAATGGGGCACAATGACAATGGGACCATGGCTCAAGATCTCTTGGCACCCAGAGATGGTTGAGCCACAGACTTCCGATGCCGCGGATGACGAAGACGATGATGAAGATGAGTGCATGGACGACGAAGGCCAATCTGATCCAACTTTGGTCAAAATCTGTCTCGGAGTTGCCGTGCCTCTTGTTCTTCATGTCTCTTGTTGCTGTGCCACTTTGACCTTTCTATATCTTTAGCCATTGCCTTCTGCAACCACGAAGCGGGAAGGTCTTCGTTGGAGGGCATGCCATCACCCCCAAGCTTTTCCTTGATGCCCAGATGCAGGCGTGCAGGAACACCTGAAGGATGCAATCCACGGTACGCTGAAGCTGAAACGGCTTCTCAGACCCTTGCCTGCATTGGGCCTAGATAGCTTCTTGTACCTTTGGATGCTTGCACACGAGTAGCAGCAGATGGTTCATGGCAGGAACGTGCTTGTCAGTGCAGGTGAGGATGAAGACGCGTTTCAATCGACTGGGGGCTCGCTCAAGAAGCGCAAGACAGTTGAAAGATGTGGACCTGCGGAGCAGGCTAATGTTACTTGGCTTTGATTGCAAGTTTCCTGGGAATGAGAGATTGCTGAACTCTTCATTCTAGTGCCCGGACCCAGTGTAATAAGTTCTAGTCTACCTCAGATCTCTCTTGCCCACGCCGGGTCCCGGTTTAAAGCATGTGCTAAGAAATGAAGCAAGAGGGTCCGAAGGGATAAGCGGAAGGCAGTAGAAGAGATGTTCGTGCGTTGACGAGCAAAGCAGTGCATGTGCAGTGCCGTGGCACTGCCGGGAACATCGGGAACCACACGCAGAGCACATTTTCAGCAGTTGAAGCACGGGCAACTGAACTCCCGTTCAACCTCCAGCTGGTTGTCATGATGGAGTGGGGTAGGCAACCGGTCTGGCAGCTGTGTTGTTCAGCGCACGACCATCGGCGAAACATCGTCAGCTACAAGCAGAGGGAATGTCCTCAAACAACGCGCTCGGGCAGGTCTCAAGCACCTGTGGTGGCTGGCTAAGGCAGGCGAAATGATGGGTCAGTCGAAGGCATTCAAATCGTCCACAACATGTTTGAGCATCGCTCACTTTTGTCGCAGCGTGTGACATGTATCGGCTGCGCAATTTCGACCAAATGTAATTCTTCATTCCGCTGAGTCAAAACATGGTCGAGGACACAGACATAGAACTCAACATCAGGATTTCGCATTGCGTGTGTCTGCTGATGCATGTTACTGAACGTGTCGGCACGCGCGCAGACACATGCTAATGTTGCATGCGTATATGCACATCGATGTGTATGAACGTACGCAGGCAAAAATATTTTGCTGAATGTATGTGTGCATATGGGATGGCGCGGCAGAGAGAGAGAGAGAGAGAGTATGTGTGCAATGTTTCGTGCAGGGCAGCAGGCACCAGCCACCAATCGCGTGTTTGATTGTAGTACAAGTGCTTCCGTTGCCGGATCACGCCATGTCAAGCAGTTTAACAGTTCCACAGCGAAACACAGCCGGAGCGACATCGACACTGAGGTGACTCATCTTCTGACAAAGTGGGGGGCCGAAGACGACGTGCTGTTGAGGCATGTCCTCGAAGGCTTGAAGCTTGAAGAGCTGGAAGCATTGAATACTTCTGGCTACTTACCAGACAAATTCAATGCCTGGAAATCTTGTGCCGACACTGGGCTGGAAATGTTTGGAACGAGTTACGGTAAGCTGCTAGCTAGCTTCTGCTGCTAGTATGAGAATCTTTGCTTTGCTGCTCGTTCGCAGCATCAGGACTTGACTGCGATGCATATCGCTGGCATGCGTGAACGCAATACGGCTGGCGGCGGGCCTTTAGATGCAATCACAGCCTTCAGGAGATACTTGCATGTCTGACCAGGATCTGAAAGCTGCAAGCAGCTGTCCTTTCCTTTGAGTATGCCGACAGGTTCAACTGGAAGCTAGATGGTACCACGGATCCGCTGCTGAGAAAGTTGTGCCACAAGGATTTGCGTCCCTCGGCAGTTGAAGTGCCATGTGGCATGGCCATCGCTGAAAACCTCCGCGGAACAATTCCGTGTGCTGAGTCTGTGCTGCAGCCACCCGCCAGGCTATGTCCTCACACGCTATGATGGCTCGAAGGACGTGCGACTCCTCTCACCGCATCGGAGAATGAAGTGCGTCTTTTCGTTTTTCGTAGGATCTGCCAACCCTGATCCAAGAAGCAGTCGATTCAGATCCGGATGCGTCTTCAGAAGGATCAGCAGTGCGAGCCCAAACCTTAGAGTGAAGTAAGGGCGAGGTGAAGGCGAAGGCAAGGTGAAGGCGAGGTGAAGGCGAGGTGAAGGCGGTGAAAACACGAATGATCACAGTCCCGAGCGTCTTTTCGATGCATGTTGTACCAGCCTTAGCTGCCTTAGCCCGGACATGGTTGGACCCTACAGCAACATGTGAATCAGAGTGAATGAGAGTGTCAGAGAAGGCGACATGTGACGTTTTGTGCTCTTAGAGAGTGTTCAAGGCACCCGGATGTACCGCTGTCGGCAGATTCCATCGTCTAGAGCTTATTGATCCAACAGCTGATTCGGCCGTCTTCGGGGATGCCAACTTGAGCTACTGGACATACCAACATGTGTGCGCAAGTTAACAGGTAACTGTTTGCAGAACCTTCCGAAGAACTTCAACATTGTGTGGGCTGTCTAAGGTTTTGCCTTGTGCCTAGGAGAGCACGAAGCATGCCTGTGGTCACAGTGTTCTTTGGTATGGTCTTGTAGTCTTGTAGATCAAGTCGCCCACGAGTTGTCGCCAAGAGTGAGCCGAGGAATCTTGCAAGGCATCGAAAGGCAGCGCGTGTCCTGCAGAAATCGTCTGTGTTTGCCACTACTGCTGTACAGCATTTGTTGAGCTTCAGGACTTACTATTGCGACATTTTCCTTGTTGCGTTTTATTGGTTTTTGTCTTGGACAAATCTGCCAGCTTTTCTTCTCCCAGGGGGGACGGGGGACATGTCACGAATTCACATGTCTGCGATGGTAGTTGGTGTCGGGCCCGTGCGTCTGAAGCCAAGCATCCCAAGCAAAAAGCAACATAGAGTGCTCCTGCCAAATGCAAACTCATCCCGCTCTGCCTAAATTATCTGAAACCCGCCGCCTGCCAGAATCTGCCACAACCTCCTGAGGTGCCCGCGCCAATCTCCAGTCCTTACTGAAGACCCCTAAGTTAATAAGCTCTCGCTGTTGGGGAACAAAAAGCCAAGAAGCCATGAGAAGTCAGGAGTCCAGCGAGCCCAGGAACCCTAGCCAGGGAAAGACAAAAGCCCAAAGCAAGCACCGCAAAGCAGCAGGGGAAAGAACAAATGAAAGCAAAGAGCAGACAGTCAAAAGCAAGCTTCAGAAGCAGAAGCACCGAACATCAAAGCAAAAAGGGGTAAGCAAAGCATGCAAAGCAGCTAGCATCTAGCACAAAGGAAATGAGGGCAGCGGTAAAGCTCTTCCTTGTTGAGCTTTCAAGTTGTTCATACTCCATCGCCATTTTCGCGAAAGCACCCCAAAGTTTCTTCTTCCACCCTCCCTCCCTGCTTTTGTTTTTTTTCTTTCGCTTCTGGTGTCTGCAAGTGCGGACCGGGAGTATGGTCGTCCTTCACATGCACAGAGAAAGAGAATTGCACCGACACTTCGGTGATACCAAAGATCGATGTACTTCGACCCTGCATCGCAGAATTTCGCCTCGCCGCTGCGCTCGGAAGCCGGCAGATAAAGAAGGGCGTCTGCGTCGAGCATTTCGATTTCCATCAAAATTGAGTGAGAGCACTTCTTCTGCTTCTTCTGCTTGCTGCTGTTCTTGTTCTTGCTGTTCTTGTTCTTGCTGTTGTTGCTGTTGTCGTCGTTGTTGTTGTTGTTGTTGTTGTTGTTGTTGTTGTTGTTGTTGTTGTTGTTGTTGTTGTTGTTGTTGTTGTTGTTGTTGTTGTTGTTGTTGTTGTTGTTGTTGTTGTTGTTGTTGTTGTTGTTGTTGTTGTTTTGTTGTTGTTGTTGTTGTTGTTGTTGTTGTTGTTGTTGTTGTTGTTGTTGTTGTTGTTGTTGTTGTTGTTGTTGTTGTTGTTGTTGTTGTTGTTGTTGTTGTTGTTGTTGTTGTTGTTGTTGTTGTTGTTGTTGTTGTTCTTGTTGTTCTTGTTCTTGTTCTTGTTCTTGTTCTTGTTCTTGTTCTTGTTCTTGTTCTTCTTGTTCTTCTTGTTCTTCTTGTTCTTCTTGTTCTTCTTGTTCTTCTTGTTCTTCTTGTTCTTCTTGTTCTTCTTGTTCTTCTTGTTCTTCTTGTTCTTCTTGTTCTTCTTCTTGTTCTTGTTGTTGTTGTTGTTGCTGCTGTTGCTGTTGGTGTTGTTGTTGGTGTTGTTGTTGGTGTTGTTGTTGTTGTTGTTGTTGGTGTTGTTGTTGGTGTTGTTGCTGGTGTTGTTGTTGGTGTTGTTGTTGGTGTTCTGGTTGGTGTTCTGGTTGGTGTTCTGGTTGGTGTTCTTGTTGGTGTTCTTGTTGGTGTTCTTGTTGGTGTTCTTGTTGGTGTTCTTGTTGGTGTTCTTGTTGGTGTTCTTGTGGGTGTTCTTGTTGGTGTTCTTGTTGGTGTTCTTGTTGGTGTTCTTGTTGGTTTTTCTTGTTGGTGTTCTTGTTGTTCTTGTTGTTGTTGTTGTTCTTCTTCTTCTTGTTGTTCTTCTTCTCGTTGTTCTTCTTGTTGTTCTTCTTCTTGTTGTTCTTCTTCTTGTTGTTCTTCTTCTTGTTGTTCTTCTTCTCGTTGTTCTTCTTCTTCTTCTTCTTGCTCTTCTTGTTGTTGCTCTTCTTCTTCTTCTTGTTGCTGTTCTTGTTGTTCTTGTTGTTCTTGTTGTTCTTGTTGTTCTTGTTGTTCTTGTTGTTCTTTTGTTGTTGTTGTTGTTGTTGTTGTTGTTGTTGTTGTTGTTGTTGTTGTTGTTGTTGTTGTTGTTGTTGTTGTTGTTGTTGTTGTTGCCTTTCAGTACAGTAGTGGCCTCATGGCACCGTGATGTGTTTGTGTCAAGAGGCCTTGGGTCATGTCGGGCGCGTCATCGCCACGACTTTCGAGTCTTTGGAAATTCTGAGAGAGAGATATTCCGAAATTGATGAGACAATTGCAGTGTTGGAGAAGCATTTCGCCGAAGTCCACCATGCTTCTTGCCAGCAGATGGATGGTAGCCGACTTTGGAAGGGTGACGTTTTAAGTGGCACATGGTTCTCGGCAATTTCACGCGCTTTCAGGAGGTCGACTGCACGCGGATAGCAGTCCACTCGGAGTTCAAAGACTTGGAGCGTTCCTTAGGGGCCGTCTACTACAACTTTCCACATGCAGGACAATGCAAGCCCAAGCATGCGTTTCGGCCACGCATCATGACAGCGTAGGCGCTCCCTCAGCATTTTGCAGTGTTCAGGCAGTCCTCTGTCCTTGGGCCTGTTAGTATTCCGACAGATTGCAAACGGAATGAGCAGGAGCCGTCGGTGGGTTTTTTGATGGCCATCCACTGGTTAACTGGCGTCATGAAAACTTGATGCGGCTATTCTTCAGAGCTTTGCGTGCCTACGTCAAGCCGGGAGGCATCGTGAAGGCATCCGTGGTGAGCCGTTTCCGCAACATGGTGCGACATTCTTGTAAAGCCGGGGGGTGGGTTGCGACCATGTTGAGCCAGGTACGGAAGGGAATTGAAAGTTGAGCGTGACTGGGTTGCTGTCAGATCTTTGCTGGGGAAATCAGCTTGGAATCACTTGGCTTGAGTTGAGGGCGGGTAAAGTGAACATAGTGAACTGAAGAATTGCCGGCTTTGGTGCAGAGTCCAGTGGCTGCCTGAGGCCGGCTTGAATTTGAACACGGTAATGGATGTCCAACTTGTGGCACGAAAGCAATGACGTTGCAAGCTGGAGATAGGACAACTCAAGTGAATTGAAAGCATAGTTCGGCGCGGTAGGCGATGATAGGTGCATATAGGTGCACGCAGGGGTATGCAGCTTTGCTTGATTTGCCTCAGAAAAATTCAATGCACTTGCATTGCCAAGCTGCGCTGAGCTGCATGGTGCAGGTGGCATCGAACCAGGGCGCTGTTGGGGTCCGGTACTCCTACATCATATGTTCGGCAGCAGAAAACGAATTTCGGCATGTAGAGACCGTGCCATTTCTTCAGTGGAGCTTACATCGGTACGGCCGGTCATATGGAGATCGTCGTGATACTTACCGGCGACCCGATGAGGGGGAGGGTTACAATGTCCAGCGTGCGGACAAGGACATGGTGCAACTTGGCATGCCAAACTCGACTCCTTTGAGAATGGTGACGTGTGAAGCACATGTCGGCATGTCGGATCCAGGTACACATTCAAGTATGAGCCCACTGGTCGCTCTTTACCTCCCCAAGATATTCGCATGCCACCGACATTCAAGACTATCGAGGCAGGGGCACAAATCCTAGAACGACAAGGGGTGCACCAAACGCGCCGTGCAGGCATGCCCAGATGGAGCCTTTGAGGGCATGAGTGGCGAGTCAAGGAAGAACCTGGCCAAGCAGCTGTACAAACGCTACTTGACTTGATGTTGCTACGTGTCAATACAAAGCAGCCTTCCGGACTCTTCCACGTTGTCTGAATGGTGCTGCTTCAGTGGGAGTGTGCTAAGTTTTGCTGAGGTTTCATGCTGGAATGCTCTGGCATCCACGTGGGCTGATTTCAGGCCGACGGGCAGCCCGAGCGGCAGAGCGCGGGCCCTGCGAAAAAGAGAAAAGACGTGCAAAGGCTGCAAAGGGATGTGTTTCTTCGAATCATACTCGAGTCATATCATATTCAACGGACATGAGCAGATGTGCTGTGAAACGACCACCTAACACAAACCAGCATCTGCGCAGCATCTGGAACTGCAGGTGCTGCAGCTTCCACACAAGGTGCTTCCACACAAGGTGCTTTCACTGGTGCTTTGCTTAAGGGGACCGCTTCGCTCCCTTTCTGCGAATGTTTTTGACCAAGCATGCCTCGACACACTGAAGTTCGGACCCACGTAAACTGCGGGACGTTGCCAAGCAAAGCAGTCGTCAGAAGATAGTTGACGGTTGGGCTGGCATGACGTGGGGTGTTGCGCGTTGATCCCTTGTTGTTTCTCGAGGCACCAAACCCAACAGTACCAACAGTAGACACGGCGCCCGCATCACAGAGAAGCGGCAGCCTGCAGGAGAAGCCCAGAAGCTTTCAGAAGCTCTTTGTAAATCGTTTGCTTAGCCACGCTGGCAATCTCACAGGGTGAGGCGCTGGCGTCGCTTGTGGCGCTTGTGGCGGGTGGGGGCAGGGGCGGCCATAAGTCTGCAGACGAACCAACAGGAATGGAGAACAAGGGCTTTCGTTTAACATTGTTTTATCCTGCACGTTAACATCGTCCCCTCTCAAGCCTTTTGTGGCATCAACCGCTGCGCCACTTGCATGCCACTTCAAAGATGCCCCAGCGCATACCAGAATTCTCACTGCGATTCGCGCGTCAAGGTAGAGCTCTCACTGCCTCTCACCATACCGTAGTTTGAACTTCTACGCTCGCTTTGTGTGCAAAATCTTGGACATTCCATGGGCTGGAACTGCCGAAAGCACAAAACCGGACTTCTTGGATGCATCTGACGTTTCTGAGGCTTCGGTGGCACAGCCAAGCCCCGAGAATTGTGAACAGCTGACGCGGTCGTGACTGGTGTTTGCGCGTGTGGTCCCGGCTACTTCAGGCTGGTCAGAGTTGTCCCGCACCGGCTGGCAAATCAGAGTCCATACCTCGAGAGCAACAGGCTGGCAGGCTTCTAGTTCAGAAGACGATTCTGCCCGGGGCGCCAAGGTCGATGTTGCCACCTCCTCCTCCAGCCAGACCTTAAGACACCTGTGAACGTGCAGAGCACTTTGTGTCAGTTGTGTTCAAGTTTTTGTGGGGGGAGGGGGGGGGGGGGGGCGTTAGGGGGGGGGGGGGGTGGGGGGTGGTTAGGAGAGGGGGCGGGTCGGGAGAGGGGTTCGGAGAGGGGGGGGGGGGTGGTTTGGGGGGGATAAGAGAAAGACAGAAATCAAAAATAAATTAAAATAACTATCGAACGGTTGTCCCCCACGATTACGACCTCGCTCAGTCAAAGGTTGATAATCGCGAAAACCATCACGCCATCCATCCACGCATCATCTATCAGGACATCCATCCATCCATGCATCAATGATATAACGAAGAACCTTTCCGAAGACCACCTGCGTTGAAAAACCCTCCCACGCATTCCCACGCAACAGAGGGCAACAAGAAGAACTGCCTGCACTATCACAGCAAACTTGACGCCCTGGACCAAGGTGGAATGCTAAATCTGAACGCTTCCCACGCACCAGCGTCACCGCGCCTCGCGGAGAGGGTTGTCGTTGGCGGACCAAATGCGAACGCCTCCCGCGCGCCAGCGCGATTTTTTGAGTACGCGCGGCGAGTCCCGCCCGGTGATTAAAACATATTTATGAATTTTACCAAGAAAGCCATGCGTCCATGCATCATCCATCACGACATCCATTTATACAACGAACTCTGTTAGTAGCGAAGAACTTTCCGGAGACTACGGCCGCTGAAAAGCCCTTCGCCACGCATTCCGGAAAAAAAACGAGCAAGAAAGAGACAGAAAGACGTAAAGACAGAAAGAATTAGAGAAAGAAAGAATGAGTAAAAACGGAAATAATGAAAGTTAAAGACAGAAAGAAAAAGACAGCAAGAAATAAATAGCGAAACAAAACATACAAATAAAGAAAGAGAACGAAATCAACAAAGACAAAGCGACAACAAATACAGAAAGAACGGAAAACCATAAAGAAGAAAGAAAGACAGAAAGAAAATAAACAAACGAAACAAAAGAAATAAAAATAAATAAAAGAAAGGAACGTAAGAGAAACGAAGAAAGAACGATTAATAAATAAAAACACAAAAAGAAGAATAGAGGAAAAGACAGAAAGAAGAACAGAGAGAAAGGAAAGCTTCAAAGAAAAATACCATACAGCGCCATAGCACAAACACATAAAGAGAAGACACAACGAAACATAACATCACGAAAGACATAGCGAAGTCATTCAGGACATGAATTCCGAAAGAACGAAATAAGCAAGTAGACCCACAGCGAAAGACAACTAAGTAGAGAAATGCCGAACGAAGCTAGAAAGACATATATAGCGAAGTAACGAAAGAAATAAGCAAATCATTACACAAGCAAGTAAAGACCAACTTAGCTAACGAACACAGACATGCCTAAACAAAGGAAACCAAGAAGCAGCTGCAGAAAGACAGGAGAACAAAAGCTGAAGAGCTAAGAACAACACTAGCTATCTCGTGCGCCATGTCCTTCTGTAGCTGTCTTTGCTTTCATTCGTTAGTTCTGCACCACATCGACCCTCGCCCCGCAGGGCCAGCCTTACGTCGTTACTTATGTCGTCATGTTTTGCTGCGTGTTCTTTCGCTATTGCTTTCTGCTTTCACTAACTTCTTTCAGTAGTAAGTTCCGTCGTTACGTCTTTCGGCTTTTTGTCCTGTAGTTATGTATTTACTTCTTTGTACTTCTTTTGTTTTTTTCGTTCGAGAACGAACGCAGAAAGAAGAAAGACAGAACTACTTGCAGGACAGAACGGAAGATGTACGAGCAATGTGTTTGCATTTGGGCGGGGCCTCAACCACCCCGCTTTGGTCGAAGCCATGCGGACTTTTTTTTACTCGGATATACGCCGATAGAACAACCTCCAATCAAACATAGGTTTTGCAGGGCGTGATTTGGGGCATAGTCACGAGCACTACGCCTTGGGTCCCAGACACAGTCTTGGCATTTACACAAGCGCTCATGAGGGCTGCTTGGACAGTTTTGAACCCGGCAGAGCTCGCGGGGTCAAAAGGTTCAATGGGGTTTAGGTTGCTTCAAAAAACCATGCGAACTCTTTCTAAACCCGCCATGCGACCATTGTGTTTGCAAATGGGGGGCCTGCGCCCTCCGCACCTTTCAGCCATGCCACATTGTTTTGAAGAGCATCAAACGCAAGAGAACAAGTGCTTCGCAACACAAAATGCAACACACGTGAGAGTCGTGAGTTGAAACATGGAGAAAAAAACCCAATCTCGTACTCAAGTTAATTGCAAATTTGTACATGGAAGGAGAGAGAGGCCCGTGCCTCGCCCATCACGAAAATCCCCCCCCCCCTTCCCCCCTTCTCCCCCCATCCTCCCCTTCCCTTGAAAAGCCATGTAGAGTAAGAGCTAGCTTGATTCAGAAAGCATCAGAGAACCCGAAAGCCGCAAAAACCTTCCAAGATGTGGTAAGCGAGCCAACTTTTGCCCCGTCGCTCAAACATCTTCGTCAGTCGTCCCGAATTGTTACCCTGCAGGCTGGCCAACTAGGCGTGCGGCAAACAGACTTCAACATGCCTGTATTCCCTACTCTGGCAAAGAGCAGGAGAGCTTTCCATTGAACTATGGAAAAATATGTGCCAAGAGGATATAAACCAATATGCAAAGCCCGCGGAATGGACGCAATCAATCAAATGGCCCATTTCAAGCGGTGCAAAGGACCCAGGCGAGAGCACAATTATGCAGTGCAGAATACGGGGCCTTGACCAGAGCGCGATTTGGCACTCAAGACTCAAGACCACTTCACAAAAAGAAATCCAAGACCAGCCCAAAGCCACTTCACGAGCACCACAGCTCTGCAAATCATGAGGGCATGGGCACGGGACCGAGGCGAGAGTGCCATGACATCCCTGCCACGTTTTCGCAACGCGAAACGGTGAATGCTCAAAAAAGTGCACGGGACATAGCCGGCAACACGATTTCGAGTGCGGAATGTGCACACGCGACCAAAGCGGCCAAAGCATGCACGATGCTCTTTGCATGGCCCAGCAATGCGCAGGGCGCCTAGGCGAGAGCGTCCGGGCCCATAGGAAGCACCGAGAGGGTCCCCGATTCGAGGGTAGGTGTTTTGCCCTTCAAAAATGTCAGAAAAAGTTTTCAGATGCTTTTTGATGCTACCTTATCCTCTTCAGGCTGTACCATCAGCGGGACAGGACCCTGGATGCGGTCAGGGTGCGAGTCGGGGGCTTTGCCACAGACCGTCAGACCAAAGACGGCATCTTCAGACTACAGTACCAGGTTACCATGTGCTCCTGAGGCATCTACTCTGGATATCCCTGCGCGCAGTTTTAACCTCAGTGCATCTCGGTGCTTGAGCTCCCGGAATGAATGCATTGAAGGCGAGCGCTCTGTGAATCCGGGTATTGAGGCACTTTCCCTTGCCACATATGCAAAGTTGTGCGCGCCTCTATCGCTGGGCGTCGAAGGGGTTTCGACAGCCAAAAGAAAGGTGCAGCCTGCGAAGCTCAGGCATGGCACAGATGGGAATGGCTGGGATGCTGGGACCAGGAATGCTAGCAGCTCAGATTGAATCTGGAGTTGCTTGGCAAAAGCATGGCTCTCAAGCTGTGACAGGTGTGGTTTTGGCGGTGCGGCACCTTCAGACAACTCCAGGGTCGAGGACCGTTTGCACTGTCTGAATTGCCTGGAATCTCGGGAGAAAGTGCTGACAGGCTCTGGAGCGCTCAGTCAAGGTGCGCGAAGGGAACTGGCGAACATTGGCAAACATGCGTGGCGTATGTGGTTTGTACTGCAATGTGCAGAGCCCGTCTCGATGTCGGACAGGAAATGCAGGACAAGCT